TAATTATTGTTGATAATTTTGTTTTTTAAGACAATTTTTTTCTTTTTTCTCATTTACACTCATCATCACACTGCCTGCATCCTCAAATGTTTAAGCTACAGACCACAAAATATGAGGACCACATTTACTGTTACACATTGGCTCTAATTAATAATTTGCTAATGAGTTGTTTGAGTTAAGTGTTTATGCACTGTGTCTTATTGGCCCTTTTAGATTTCTGTGATCTGACGCTGGATCCAAACACAGCACACAAGAACCTCAAACTGTCTGACGACAACAAGGAGGTGACACACATGAAAGAAGACCAGCTGTATCCTGATCATGATCTTAGGTTTGATCACTGGCCTCAGCTGCTGTGTACCAACAGTCTGAGTGGTCGCTGTTACTGGGAGGTTGAGTGGAGTGGAGAGGTTCATGTTGCTGTAGCTTATGGAGGAATCAGAAAGAAAGGAGAAGAGGATGAAAGCAGGTTTGGAAGGACTTACCAATCCTGGAGTCTCTACTGTCGTGATAATATAGGTTACTATGGAAACCATGATTACATAGCAAGAGCCATCCCTCTTCTCCCCTCACCTCTCTGTCACAAAGTAGCAGTGTATGTGGACTGTTCTGCAGGAACTGTGTCTTTTTACAGTGTCTCCTCTGATAAACTGATCCACCTGCACACCTTCAACACCACCTTCACTGAACCTGTATATGCTGGGTTTAGAGTGAAGTCTGACTCTAATATCCACCTCTGTGCTGACTCAGAATAATGGACTTACTGTGGTGTTTCATACTTTTTCGCACTTAATTATTGTAAATGTTAAATCTATCAGGTAAATTGTCTCATACGTTGTACATATATTAGTTTGATTTGCAGTCCAGAGATTCTCCTGAAAAAATGTCTTTTATCATCTTAGTGTCTGAGGTGCCTATTTTTCAAGAGCAGTTATCAGTTTGTACTAATATGTTACAGTTTAAATACCCACAGGTGTGGGTATTTAAACTGTATATGTATAAAAATACAAATCCTGAATTGTAACAGAAAAGGGAAGGTGAAGAAAAAAGAAATAAGATGTAAACAGTGGGATTTTTTTTCTTGTTGACTTGTTGCATATGAAACAAACACTGAGACAGTGTCAGTGTATAAGGTGTGTTGACTTCTCCCATTTATATATATGTGTAATTAACTTTAAACCTTTGTCAGTTTAAATATTCTCCAATTGAATTTAAAATCAGCTGTTTTTTTTAAATAAATGAAAAAGGACTGTTCATCTGTTACTGTGTTGCAATGTTTATATAAAACAATAAAATGAAACTGTTTATATCAGGATAAACTGTACACTGTGTTCAGAGGAGGAACAGAGGACAAAACAGAAAGCAAGATGTTTTTAAAGTGTCTTTGTAAACATTTATACAACAAGTGTATTTATAGCATACAAGTGTGTTATGCTG